GCATGCATATTTATATGGTACTTCCTTCGCAAAAGATCAAGGTGTTTTGTGAGCCACTGTTATAAGCTGGTTTTTGGGTGGAGGACAGAAGCCAAGTAACACAGCATGCTAGCATTTTTGTGCCTGACTGCTGCTGTTCTTGATCAATCCTAGGTAAAATTTTTTATTTTACTTATTTTTTACTATGTCCCTCTGGTGAGGATAGCAGTAAGAAACAGGTAAGCACATGCCTCTACCAAAACAAAGCAAAATGTAAGCCTTTTAATAAATCTGAATGTTTAGGGCATATGGGCTTCAGGTGGTTATCGTTTAGAAAGTAGGATAAGGAAAGGCAAGCTCAACAGTGCTGGAATGGCAGGGGGACGTGGTTTTGGAGGAGAAGGCTGGGTCTGTGACCATGAACTTCTGTGGCCAACCTCCACTTGAAGTAATCGAAAATACCCTTCCCCTTCCCTTCTCTGTGGGCTCATCTCCCGGTGCTGGAGATTCTGCCCCCTTGCAGCCTGGTCCTGCCAGCTGCAGGGTGCTGCTGCCCCCACTCCCCCGCCACCTTCTTGGTAGAGGTAGAGCCCTGGTGAAGAAATGCTGCCTGGTCCGCACTCAGGCTGTGTCGGGGCAGCTCCGGAGCACAGGAGGGCACTTCCCATCCAGTGAACCCGTGAATCATTGCTTTGAGCATCGCTGTGCTGGAGTTAGAGGTTGCTGATCGGGGAATTAACTGAAAGCTTTGGAGTTGTGGGCAGGGAGAATAAATCTGTCTGGTTTTTATTTTCTCTTTGCTTAAAATGAACTTAGTTGTCCTTTTGAACAAGGTCAAACCCACTTGCTACCACTACGAGTTTCTCTGCTCTAAGAATATTCTCCAGGACCCTTAAAATATGTTCGGGTAAAGTACTGACATAAGATGCAGTCTCTCCAAGAGGAAGAATGCAGGCTTTTTGATCTAAGCCAGGCAAATAATAAAGAATAGACTAAAGACTTCAAAACTGGAATAAAATATGGATTTCTAAGGATTAGAAGAAAAAACAGAGATGTGGTATGGGTGTGTCCAGATGGGAATAACATTTAGGAGGGAGTGCAAAGGTGACAGTGGCCAGAAGAGGACCTGTGCACCCTTTGCCAGAAAGTTGCTAGTGGGGAAGAATTGCACCAAGAGCTTAAACCATGGATTCAGTCCCATAAGGAAATACTGGCCCCACGGGGAGTCAGCTACCAGCTGAGGAAATGGAACAGCAGGAGGTCGGATGTTGTGTTGGTTTGGGATGCTTGCATAGCCTTGGACTCGCCTTGGACCCTCTTTGACTCATCTCTTTGAGCTTAGATTCAGCCTTTCCTTGCAGAGAGCTCTGACTGAGGGAGATGTGATAGTTTCTTTAACACCGTGAAATGATTATCAAAAAATCAGTAAATTCACCAGCAAAACCAAGGAGAGGATTGAGCAAGAGTGAGGGTAATAACTAAGTTTAATTTGAACTTGGCTATTAAAGAAAAGGACAATTTTGAATACTAGGCTGGCTAGGTTAGCGTATTGCAGGGATCAAGTGAAACCATTCTCCCTGCTGAGGAAGCAGATCTGGTAAAAGATCTGTCCCCAAGGTTCTCTAAGTTCTACTCATGTGTCCCAGCTGGTTTGTTATAATTTAGCTGTTGGCATGTGTTTGGATTTACAAAGACTTGGAAATAAAGGATCCAAAACTGTTTGGTCTCACAGAAGTAATACCCATCCAGAAGTTGGGAAACGGCGTTTGGAGACCAGGATGCGGGATTAGAGGAGAGAAGAAATCTTCATAGCTAATGTAGAGATGATCTCACAACTGATTTAGATTTCATTACACTTAGTAACAGTATAAGCAACATCAGGGATTAGAACTTCAGTCTGCAGAAAATCACCTTAGCAAAGGTGGAATAAATGGTTTGCGAACAGTCACTGTGCAACAAACAAGTTATTCTCCCCTCTGAGCGCAAATACTGTTGAACAGCTGTGTGCAGGTTCGACTTCCCAGTGGAGAAAGCTGGAAAAGACTGGGGCAATCTGAAGGCATCGACTCACATGTGATTGCTGACTAAATGCAGATGGCTTAAGTGGTTCCTGTCTTCAGTTTTATGCTTTGCCTCTCTCTCAAAGGCTGCTGTGGCTGCAGCGGTGCTGGCTGAGCGATCTGTGAAATATGTGTGTTTACATTTATGAGCCAAACTGTAAAAATGTGTTTGGGAGCAGAGTCACATAAGCCAACACTTGTAGCTGCTAAGATTCTTGTGGCTGGGAAGTACGAGCAGAGCATTCCTTGTTTGCTGGATGCAGGGGAGGAGCAGTAAGTAGTAAAAATGACTGTGATTCAAAATGGGCAAAAAAAAATGTTCAAATTTTTGTTTATTTGGGCTTTCCATATTGAAAACCTGTTCAATTGGATCAGGTAGAAAAAAGCATTCCAGTAATTGCAAGAGTGTGGTTTTGCATTGCTAGAAATGGCAGGGGGGCTCATGACTGTTCCTGTCCTTTGCCTACCTGTGAAAACTTTAACCTTGGGCATGGATGCCAATGCTGACAATTTTAGGGCATTATTGATAAAATTATTCGGAGCAAAAGTTAGTTTTTCAGAGCAGCAGTCTGAGTCTTTGGCGGGGAGGAAGCATCAATACAGAAGAGCTGGAAGAAGTTAAAATTATAGACTATTTGGAGGAACTTTGGGATTAGCTCTGGGTCTGGACTCTGACATCTTGACACCAACTTGGCAAACGCTTGCAGCAACTGCTGTAGTGTGATTTTGCAATTCTGCAGAGGCCTGGACGGGAGCGCGTTAGCCCTGTTGCCACGCACACAGAAGAGCCTTGTTGGAAGGCTGATTGCAAACGCTAGGGATCAGCTTCTCCAGCATATCAGGAACCTGTGAGCATTTTGTCCTCATGTGTTGCAGAAGTGCAAATATTAGTGGTTCATCCACAGCTGAGTAGAGGACTAAGGACAGTCGGTGTAGTCTCGCAGGAGTGGGCTGCAGAGCAGCTGAATGCTTCTCACAGAGTGGATTTTCATACTGGGCATATTAGGCAATTGGAAAATCATCTGACAGCGTTGGTCTCCAGAAAATGTAGCATCTCCACGTCATCCTAGAGGAAAAGTCTTCTGGACCCGGAGGAATTTGGCATTCTGAGTGAAATACTACTCTGCCGGCGAGAGGACCTGATGGGTGATGGATTTAGGTATTGGCTGATTATAGCAGATACCAAGACCTTTCCAGTACTCGGTGATGACCATATGGCTGCTGCACTCTTTTCAAAAACCTTGGCTGAAGGAAAGGAGGGATGCAATCAGAAGGCAGCAGAAACCATCATCACCATTTTGGTTCCAGGCACTGATGTGTTGCAAAAGGCAGTCATGAGAGCTAAGCTGCTGTGCGGCATGGGAGAGTGCTCATCGGCATCTGCATGGGCCTTTGCATCAGCCAGAAAGCAGCTGTGAACTGTTTCATGGACAAGTTTGAGGTTTGCTCACTACAACATCGAGAGGCTTTGACTGTAGCATCGTTTCCAGTTAATGAGTCTGTAAACTAATGGGTGAAATGGGATTCTAGGAGGGGGGACTGCAAGCAGCATGGTGATTTGGTGACTTACTGATCAACAGTTGATGGAAGACATCAGGTAGCTGAACACTTCTTATATTGGGCTTTAAATAAAGACTCAACCTGATGGTTAAGTAGAGTTCCTGGCAAGGCACAGAGGAAATTCTAGAAACCCTACAATGCAAAATAGAGAGGGGATAATACATCCTTTTGTAAGAACAAATTTAACTTGATTGCTAGTAAATGAGAAGATGATCTTGGATGATCAGTTGTGTGTTTGAAAGCAAATATTTACAAGAAGCTGTCTGCTTGGGTTCCACTGTCCCACAGGGTTGGAAAGCTAAAGTCTGCTACACCTAGTGGCTTTAGTAGTTTTGTTTTGGTACATTCACTCTTCAGAAATTGTACATTGTACTGCTAACCTGTCAGGAAAAGTTACTTCTGGAGGGGGAAAAGAAAAAAAAGTGGTAGCATGTACGTTTTTACAGCCAATGAAAAATCTGCATTGTCTAAAAAAACCCCATTGCTCCTTGAGCAGTGGGGTCACTGAAGCCTGGTTTCTGGATGCATCCGTTCTCTCGAAATCCTCTCCTCCCTCCCCCAGAAAACTAGCTGCCCTCCTCTCCCTTATTACCCCTTCTCCATGCCCTCTCCTCTGCCTCTCTCCTGATTTTGGCTTTTTTGTTTCCCCGCCCCCAGAACTCATTGGTCTTAACTGCATGTATCGAAGCAGTGACTTAGAGCCGGTTCCCAGCAAGGCTGATCTGAGGCAGCGACAGGTCCCCTCTTTCTGTGCACTGTCCCGCTGGCTCAGGCATCCATCACACCTGCAGAAACTTACACACACACACACACTGGTTTTCTGCCACTTTATTCATTATTTTAAATAATTAGTGTATAATCTGATTAGGAAAAATTTAGGATCAGTCTTTTGGAGAGCATACACAAAGGTTAGTGTTAAGTGGGAGGAACAAAGAAAAAAATCACACCCCTCAGTTCCAGTTCATACTTCTTCCTCACCCCACAGAGACTAGTGTGTGTTATTAATGTTACTGGTAATCTTATCTGGTTTTGCATCTTTATGTCTTCGTCCAAGACAGGCACTGAAATTGCCTGAAATTCTGAAAAAAGGGAACAGGGTCAAACTAATGGAGGGTCACAATAATCCCGATGATTTTATAAAAAGATGTATTCTCTTTTCCCACTGCTTTTCCTATTTAGGCTGAGCTGGTTTGTTTAAAGTAGCCACTTGGTATGCTCAGGTTGCCAGAAGACAAAAGCTTTGAGAACTCTGCTTGGTGGCTTGCTTCTGTTACTGGCTTAGGGTTTGGTCTGTTATTTAAAAAAAAAAAAGAAAAAGAAACAAACAAACAAAAAACCCGAAACTAAAAATAGTTAAGTATTTGCTAATGTGTTTCCTGCCTCCCATTCACTGTGTTTCAGAAAATCTTCAGAAGAACTGGACATGGATAAAGTAACAGCAGCCATGGTACTCACCAGTTTATCCACCAGCCCTTTGGTCCGCAGCCCTCCTGTCCGACCCAATGGTAAGCCTTCAGAGCAGCGCCTGGGCAGGGACTGCGGGCAGGGGTGCCAGGGCCGGGTATGCGGGGGCTTGTTTCCAGTTGTGGCCATGGTGGAGGACAAAGGGCAAAACGCTGTCTTCTGGCAGCAGCCCATGCGTGCTGGGGATCATACTGAGTGAGCCTTGCCCCAACATAGTAGAGGTTTTTGGCTTAACACTGGCAGAAATGAGAAGAAACCTTTTCCGTAACCATCGAGCGGCTTCAGTTCATGGGACCGGAGATGGCCCATTTCATAAATGGGACATGAGCACTGCAGAAGGTCTCCTGACCTAATTTTCCAAACAGCTTATTTACATTTGCGCTTACGCAGTAAACATGACAGCAGTTGTTCTTGTCCCCACCCCATGGAAATCAGATTGGGTTTTACTCAACACTATGGTGAGGCAAAGCACCTCCAGTTCATAGCCCTCAGCTGGGAATCCATGCACTAGCAGTCTGCACAGCGACAGGTCTGTTTCTGCCATTGCAGGATTAGACCCTCAATTCCTTTGTGCCCTTTGTAACTCTCTGATAGCCCACCATCAAATCCATAATCCCTTAAAAGACTACTCCATTCACGTTATAGCAGAAGATACACAAAAATAAATCTAACTTAGTGGTAATAATGAGATTGCTAATGAAACATAATTACTCCATGCAAGCTTGACTGGAGCTACAAGAAATTTTTAAGTGTGTTAGATTTTAAGGAATAATTTAAATTAGGACACCCTTGTTAGGATGTCTCAGCATTGTTTGTATGACTGGCTTTTCTTACTCTTAACTGTTAAATCGATGCTAAATGCCCTTCTACTGTAAATAATTGGAGTACTTTGAGGGATACTAACTGATTGGAAGTTAATAGGGAAATAGTCTTTGCAGCTCTTCATGGAAGCAGGAGCAAGCCACTGAATGATATTGTACTTAAAAGGAATCTGTACCATGAGGAACGTCCCAGCTTTCAAGATTTTTGAACAAATAGTGTGGGTTTTTTCATTTCTTTCCAGAAAACTTAAATTTTATCCATTTAGCTGGAAGTCTAGCCATGAACACCCATGGCTCCTGCCTGTGTGCTTTCCACACACCTACCAAATTTTAAAACCAGAAGCATTTATAGAGTATCATTGCTCTGAGGAGCCCTGGGAAACCTCTGGTGGTGACATCCCCAGTGACTGTCCCACCTGGAGGTTGCCAGCCGCCAAGGAAGGCCAATGGAAGGGAAAAACCATACCTGCTCTCCAGCTGCTCCAGCTCTCAGCCGAAACCACAGATGAAGGTGGATCTGGGCTGATGTGCCAGGTGGGGATTTGGAGTGGCCGAGGCACGCGCGTGTCCCACATTGCATCCCTGGTCATGGGGAGCTGCTGTTGTATGGGGCAAGGCAGTATCTGCCACCTTAAGCAGTTTGAGAACCAGCAGCCACATGCTAGCTAGCAGCTGTGGATTGGAAAGATCTTCCAAACAAGCCCTTTTGAATTGCTAATAGGTAAATGGTAGCTGTTAACTGCCTTTGATATTTCTTCATGCAGCCTGAGTGCTCTTTGATATTTCTTCACATAACTTGTCTGCTTGTTTCCCGGGGAAGACAAGCCTGAAAAAGTAATTCACGTGTTTTCCATAGTCACAGACAAGATTTTGAAGCTGTTGTTGGGCACCTTCTCCCTGAATATCTTAGTTTTGCGTGAGTGAAGACTTATTAAAGACTTCAGTAAATGTGTAAAGATTTGATAATTTAAAGCTCAATTGGTGTTGCAAGGCTAGGCTCTGATCTTAGTAATATGAGCTACAAATGTACTAATGATGAATTCTTTCTACATCCTTTTCCAAAAAGGGGAAGTAAGTAGCAGTGTAATTAAAGGAACATTTGTTTAAACAAATGGATTTTTGCCTAGAAGTAACAAAAAAATTACATTAGCATTAATACTAAAGTCTGATCTGTGCCTGAAGTACTGGGGATAATCACCCATGTTAACTGGATCAGAGTTTGGCCCTTGTTTCCCTGCAGCTGAGTAATATTTGGTCTGGTTCTCTTTCACGCGACTCCAGCAATGTGAAAAGAGCCCCAAAATAAGAGTAAGTTGCATTTATTTATATTTTAAACTTCTTTACATTGACAGATTTGTTAGTAGTAATGAGAACCAGTGTTTCCCTGTTGTCAGCCTCATTCAGTCTTTGCCATACTACTTTAAAAATGTTCTTGATTTACATCTCTTTCTCAACAAGGTGAGAAGCAGCTGTAAATCCCAAGAATACAAAGTACCAGCATAAATGTGTCAGAAAGTAGTAGCTGAAATTGCGCTGCTTCCTTTGTTTTTCTGAAGAAATGAAAATTGTAAGCTGTGCTAAGGTCACAAGTTGATACCAGATGTACTTCTTGGCTTTGGCACGAGACTCAAGTACAAATACTTACAACAGAAAAAAACCACCTCCATTTCAGTCACATGAAGGCTGTAATCATGAACCAAAACATGACATTTTCATATGTTAACTTATTAGCTACCAGAAATTTATATGTCCTTTTCCAAAGAGGAATTGGGGGGGTGGGGACGGTTGGTCCCATTTATGCTCTGTGGCCCTGATCGGTAAGTGCGGGGACTTAGCTGCTGCCTACGCAAGGGGGTATTTTTATGCATGTGCTTACATGATGGAGCACTGCATTCTGTTTTGTGAGCAGCTGATGTTAATGATTAAGGGTTTGTCCAAAACCAAATGAATTTGGAGAAGAAAAATAAAAATTCATTGCTTTTGGGTGAAGCTTTTGGTAGCAGGTGGTAAACAGTATTTTCTTGCTGATGTCATTAGTTAAATTTATCTGTAAGAAATTGAGAAGGAATGAAGGAGTGACTTCTGCAGAACTCTTACAGGCAGGCGCTGACTTGAAAAGACTCCTGTCTCACACTTAAATAACGTTTCTCAATCAGATAAGATATTACTTGCTTGCCAACTCTAAAGTCAGATATTGCACAGTACTCAGCCACCTATGGTGTGATTGGGAAAAGCTTCCAATGCCTGAGTTAGGGAGAAACTGCACCTAAACCATCCCTGCACACGTACCCGAGCCCTGTGAGAACCCTGTGGTTGCACCACTGGACACGCTCGGGCCATACCTTTGCTGAGCTACGTACTCCTCTCCTGCCAGAAGCCCTTTAGGGATTGGGAAGAGTGACATGCCAATGTCTAACGCCTGAGGACCTCTGCATGTGAAGCACGGCTCAAGCCGTGCCTCAGACTGAAAAAGCAGTGCTGTTACTCCCACACACCGTGTTGCAGAATAACCTGTTAGTCTGAGGGTGTGCTTACCACCTAATGTCAGGGGAACTGCTGCAGTGAGGAGGGGGTTCCTCCAGCAAGTAGGTGTGGAGGTGATCCAGTGTCTATGCATCCCACTTCTGAAACCAGATGCCTAATGATACACATGTATGAAGAAAAAGGGGTAACCTTCCAAGGATACATACCACCTCAATTAGAGATCCAAATTAGGTTGAGCTGTGTACACTGAGAGGTTATTAGAAGACAGTTAGAGTGTAATTATGGTTTTCTTTGGTATTTTAGTAGTGGGATGATGGCCGTGTTTTTGCATGTCCTAGGGCTCAGGGTGTATGTCCCCTTCCCCGGGGATCTCCCGTTGGCTGTGTGGTGGCTTGGAGCTTGTGCTGACGCCCCACCACAGTCATGTGTTCCTGTTGAAAGTTGAGGATGTATTTGAATGTTTTCCCTTTATCATGCATGCAATATCTGATTGCTTATTGAGGTTTATGCTCCAGAACAGGTTATGTTTCCAAACCCAGCGTTTCTTTTTAGAAAGATACTTACTTTTTAAAAACATCTGACAAATCAAGTGTAGAATATGTAATTTGTATGCAGTGGGATAGATGTGGTTGTCCTCTCTACATCCAACGCTTTCGCTTTCCTTTATTGCACGTACAGTTAAGTACCAACATGGCATCTAAGCCTTAGATCAAGTTGCTGCTTAGCCCTTATGCATGATACTGTTGCAATGCTGGCTGTTGTTGTTCTTGACAGAATCCCTAAATGGATCTTGGAAAGAAGGAGGATTTGTGCCTTCTAGTACCAGCAGCAGTGGATACTGGAGCTGGAACGCTCCCAGTGACCAGTCCAACCCATCCACCCCATCTCCACCTCTGTCAGCTGATAGCTTCAAAGCTTTTCGGACGCCTTCTCAGCCAGATGATGGTATTGATGAAGCTGAAACAAGCAACCTTCTCTTTGATGAACCCATTCCTAGGAAGAGAAAGGTGAGCCTCACATTAAATTCCATACCCGTGGTCAGATAGGGTGTTGGTAGACTTACTTTGCTGTAAGAAAGGAACAGGTCACCCAAACAGCTCTGTATGTGTATCCCTCCTTGGCATCCAATTAAAGTAGGTACTTAGCCTAGTCACTATGTCTTGTTCAACCTAGTCGCCTACTGCTCACACATGCTGCCATCAGCACCACATATTTGCTGGCAGATGGTGAGGTTCTACAGAGCCTCCTGCTCAGAAAACACTAGAGTGATTTCCAGAAGGTGTTGCCTCTGGCCATTCAAGGGATTTCTATCCTACTTTTGGCAAATTCTTTGTATGCAGAATGCAACAGGCAGCCTTTACATGTCATCACAAAAACTGGATATGGCCTTAATACTTCTTGTTCCCTGAAAGTGCTGTTTGTCTGACAGCATGTCAGATACCTTAATACTGTGAAGCTTTCTCTGTGCAAACATATGGAGTGAAAAGAGGAGAGAGAGATCAAACCTGATGGCTTTTGATACAGTATTAGCAGTGGCCAAATTTATCCTCAGTAGGAGTACAAAAGCAGACTAAATAAAACACAATGTAAAAAAAAAAAAAAAGTCCAAAACTAACCCCAAAAAAGCACTATTATACTAGCAAGCAAGCTCCACTCAAAGAAAAAGAAAACAAAGAGATGGCAGTAGTCCAAGTTTCCTTCCCTCCCAACACAACAGGACAGATTTTACATAGCAAGATGAAAAAGGGCTTTTTGCAAGAAGAAAAAACAGAGAATTTATTCTCCTTAGTGACTTTGTTTCTGGCTCAGTCTGAGACAGTTAATTGCTTCATCACCAGCAGGAAGGAGTTTTAATGATTGTTTAAACCTGTTTGCATTTATCCTTTTGCTCCAGAAGTTCTTATGTGCTGACCCGTACTGTTCTGCCCTTGTTTGTGGGAGAGGGGTGTAATATGTTTGTGCTTCTTGCTAAAATGCAAAATAAATATTTTGGAGGACACCTTTTTTATAATAAATCAGAAATTAGAGCTGACTTAAGCTAAAGACAAATGATTCTGGAGAGTGTGGGACAGGAGGAGTAGGAATGCAGAAGTCTGCTGGTTTGCCTTTTACTTCTCAGTTAAAGTTCAACTCATTAGCATCACTTATTGCTCAGCTGTGTTGAGACAGATGGGTTTGCAGCTGCCATCTTTATTGTTACCTAAGTTGTCCTTGAATATTCTGATTTATGTGCCCACCACAGATCTATTACACTATCTGTTCCAGTTCACAGGGATTGTGCTCTGTACGGCGTATGTTTACATTAGATAAATAACAACATTCCCAGACAAACTTTGTTTTGTAAATGAACTGTGGTTCCTGCAGGTTTTTTGATTCTGGTCCCAGCGTGGTACTTTATCTGAGTACAGCTTTGCACCTTTAGAAGCTGAAATAAAAATGTTCAGGTTGTATCTTCTTCGGGGCTGCTAAAATCAGAAGGAATAAACCTGGAAATAGAGTGATCGGTAACCTTACTTTTACTCGTTAAAGTTTCTTCCATTTCGTGTTTGGAACATGTCATGTTAGCGACCACCTCCCATTAAGAAAGTTGCTCGCTTAAAAGTTTCCACTGATGTAGTTATTCTTCACCAAAACATTTATGTTCCATTAATTTCTTAAATAAAACATTAAGCTGATTAGTCAATTTTTTGACTAGTCAGAAATGGAAGCATGGTTTATATTCTGTATTTCTACTGAGTGAGATTTCATTTGGTTGCATTAAAATGCATGGGGTTTGCAGAGTCCTAACATTGACACAAAACAGTGGAGCTAGGAGATTGGTTTTACCATCAAACTGGAGATCAATGTTAAACCATTCTGCATTCGTAAAGATTCATATGGTGTTCATGATGTCATATCAGAATTCCTAAGATGTAAATGATAAGCATAGTCTTCATCTTGTCACCAAGGTTGGTGGTGGGTTGTAGGTTTTTGAGCTGATTATAGTATTTAGTTTATTTCATTTTAGGAAAAAAGAGTTCTGTATCTATTTGAATAGTAGTTGTATTACCAGGTCAGAAAACTATGAAGGGAATTTAAGTGCAATTTATTCCAAAGTAGAAGGTTTTCATACAAACAGCATGATGAGGTACCTCAAATCTTAAAGCCCTTAGCATCCATACTGTGAAACAGGAGATGTTAGACTGCCAAGTAACTATAAGCACATGCTACTACAATCAGCTTGTATTTTAAAAAGCCAATCAGCTGACGTTTTTAAAAATTATATTCTAATCATCATCTTTCTAGCAAATACTGAAACTTACCATCTACTGGCATGTAGTTCCAAAGGGGCCAAATTGAAGAAAGCACCAAGTCAGCTTTTGTTCAAGACACAGCAAAGCATGTACTTTAAGGATGTGCTTTTTCCCCCTTTTTTTAATCGAGCTTTATATGAATATACTAATTTAATCTTACATGAAACTAAAGTTATAGAATAATAATGCAGTATTTTGAAGCTCTTCCTCATGTTTTCTTCAATAATGTTTTCTGTAATAATAGAGAAAATTATTTTTGTGAAGTACAAATTATTTAGGTTTTTTTTAATTTAAAATTTATGAAGCAGCTTTCATTTTGGGGTAAAATTACTTTTTTAAAAAAACTGTACAGTTCTGCAACATCTGTGTTGTGTGTTACCACGTGCTGTGCTTTAAATTAAGAATACTTGTCTCCAGAATCTTCAAAATATTGAAGACTGAGCAGGTTATAGCTTTGTTGGCTGTGCTCTAAATCAATGATAACTTAGTTTAGGCCAATGATGTTATATTAAAGGATATAACAAGAGCAGTAAAATGAGATTATACACAAATTCTTTTAAAAATGTTGAACGCAGACAGATGGTTTCTCATTCTCTTGTCCAAGTGAGGGTCTAGCGGCTTCTGAATGATATAAAAGCAGGTTTTGCCAGCTTGTGGGTGAATATTGTCACTGCAGAAGCAAAAAGTGTTGCAAAATGCACAAGCAGAAATACTCAGAAGAGCTTGCTTTAGGAAGAAATTAAATTAAGAAGATGCCTTGCAGTAAGCGAGAAGTGCTCATCAGTTGTTCTTTGAAAAGCTCCAAAGACGCATAGGAAGTTTTTATACTATCTACCTCCTTTAGTGGGGAGACAGAAACTGGCATTTGCAAATGAAAAAGCCATGCCAAAGAGCCGAGAGGTGTAAAGTTTTGGCCCAAGCTGCTCCTGTGGCTTTTCACTGGGATTCTGTTGAGTTCAGTAGGATGACGCTGTTGACAGATGTTATTACGTCATTACAAATTCAGAGTTAGAGGCTCTGAACCTTCATAGTGTTTTGTAACTATATATCTGGTTTGAGTGGTTTGGTTTTCTTTCTACCATGCAGCTAATGTTGCTTTACTCATAATTTCTAGAACTCCATGAAGGTGATGTTCAAATGCCTGTGGAAGAACTGTGGGAAGGTACTGAGCACAGCTGCAGGGATTCAGAAACACATACGGACCATTCACCTTGGGTAAGAGAGCAGTATCTTCAGAAGTCTTAAGGATTTGGTATGGAAGGGGAGCAGTCACCCTTGGCCAAGGAGGTGAACTGCCTTGTCCTTGGCTTTTCTGTCTCGGATCCCTAGGTTTCTGAGCAAGTTGCAGAGTAGTGCAAGGTGAACGGGAACTTAGTCCAACAGCGAGGCACTTTGTTCCTGAACTTTTGTCAGCTTTACTGGAAGGTCAAATACAGCTCTAGGTCACACTGCACTTCCCTAATGGCAGCACAACTCAGTGGCATTTACTTCATATGTGCTATCTGCGTGTCACGTCCAGCCTCATGCTGTGTGGAAGACAGCAGGTTTCAGGGTCTTGCCTGAATGCTTTCCAGCTTTGTTTCATATCGGATCAGGTGGTTGTGCTAGTTCTGAGTCAAATTAACTCAGAAAAAAACCCCAAACCTAAGAAACCTGAGCTGCATTTCCATGTTTATGTTACTTGGACTAGAAGCAACAGCAAATGAACCTTGTATGACACAAGTATGTTTCAGAGATTTATTTTGCAGCTGAAATCTCCTGGGCAATTTGCTAAGTCACCTAGCTGTCTCTCATACAGTTATAGTGGGGACTCATGGTATTCACCTTTTAGGTATGTGGAAATCTCTGTTGTGTAAGCTGCCTTACTCAGTGCTTAAAAATTAAAGTGACCATGAGGACGTAGTCTTGCAAAGGTCACAGTAATTGCTGTTGGGCTTTGGCTCTGAAGAGTGAGGCTATCAGAAACAGAGAAAATCTCTCTCAATATGCAGTTGCTTTGTCCTGTATATTACGGGGACATCCTTTTCATGGCACAGGAGAGGGAGAAGTAAACAGCAGAACTTCCCTGGCATTTGGAGTTTGTAACTTTGCTGGAGAAAGGGGTTTTGGTGAGTGACTAGCTGCGGTCTGACGAATGGTACTTCTGGTAGAGCCTT